GTCCAGGAGGCATCCTTACCAGATGCCCGAGCCACCTCAACTGGCTCCTCTCGACGAAAACACCGGAAACGAGCCCGACTTACTGCCGGCAATGCGAACCAGACTCTGACACCGGTCGTACAAGGACCTGACAGCCCGTATCAAGTGGCCCGGTAAGTATGAATCATTCTTAATTAATGATGTTTTCAAGGTTAACTAACCATTTCTTAATGATTAATTTAGGTTAAGTAAGTTGTAGTTATTATAGTGTTCCCCTTTTTTGTTGCACAATTATCTTGATGTGATACATAAAAAACAACTTTTAATATTTTTTTCAACCAAATCATGCAGACCATACATGTCAAGTTGTATGCCTAACGATTTTCTTTAATTCTGCATGTATACAGACATGCGTGGGGTATTTACTGTCACAATGCAGAGCAGAGAGCATAACAGTGTCTGAAGCAGAGCGCAGCCCGTTTGTGGCTGCCTTTCAAACCTGCTAAATATAGATGCCAAAACAGCAGCACAACCAGTTTCAGGGTTTGATAAATCAAACTGCGGTACTAAAGGATTGTATCTGCAAATCCTCCTCCCAGAATTACTGCATGTATGATCATCAGATTATCAGCACATTCATGAAGGCAGACTGAATGGATTGCAGAGCTATTTTGCTCATCTTAAAGACCCAATCCTTGCTGCGCACCGTTAATAAATCAGCTTTGCGTGCACCATCATGTTTGCAAGTGTTTTTGCACATGTAAACTCTTGATAAATCAGCCCCAAAGTGATTTGCAAAGTTTGACCAAAACTGAAATAACTCCATCACTTCTCATCAACACTTGATCTTCATCTAAAACTCTGACATGGAAGGCAGCGGGTGAAATGCTTTCCTTCAAGGAATGCTAGGTCTTATAGATTTTCTGATTATTAAGCTGTCCTCCTCTGGTTAATTATGCTGTCTTTGCAGCACCAGGTTAGTTTTAGTGTCATCCTGTGTCCTGAGGCAGTTTCTCATCTCTTCTGCTGGGAGTGGCCAGCTTCTTTGACCTCCTCCTCCTCCTCTTCATCTCCCCTGAGACCCATAAAACGAGTTAGGGCCACCTGCAGGCAGATCTTAATTAGTTTCCCTCTCACAAGCTAGCGGGAGATAAACACTAAAAACTCACTGCAGCTCCACAGGAGGGTATGCAGGCGGACAAACATGCATCATGCCTGTCTTCTTCAAGTAGGGGCCTCTTTATGTGCAGCAACTGAAAGTCTTTGTGTAGACCTTTGAACAAATTGATATTTTAGTCTGTGTGGTGTCTGCATACTTGTTTTTTACACTTATCTGGTACTGTGGGCACAAAATAGTGTTTCAAACACGATGCATTTCATCATCTGAAACATTCTTGAAAATGAAGGAGGCATCCGAGTATCCTTTTCAGTTGAGGTCATCCCGGGACTCAATGTGCTGACAGCATACTAAGCAGAAACAAACATTTTTGGATTTATTTTTTTATTTATTTGTAACCAAGTCGTCGTAGTTTGGAAAGTCATTACAAACTGAAGAATCTATTTTTAAATATGGACAAGTTTAGCAAGAGGCCAGGGGCACTAGAGGCACTACTACACACTCACTAGAAGCAGAGGAGGCAGAGTCTCCCCTTTTATCATGGAAATTAAAAAGAAAAAACAATATTAAACACATTAAACTGTCATATTTATACAATGCTTTGCACTATAAACACATTTTCAATTAACTTAAACACTTTTAAATATTTTTCTTATACAAAATTGCTGAATTTCCTCATATCCTGTTCAAATACAGGACGAGACGGACTATGAGGAAAAATCAAGTTCCGCCTCCAGATTGCACAATCGTTTCAACCCCGCTATGTCGTCAGTAAAAAGTTTCTAAAATTTTTAAATATGCACCTGACTTTCCACAGTTCAGTTGATGTTTATTATATAAACGTGTTTGTGTAATGTGTTAAATCAGTTGAAACACTTGAGAAAAGACACATGAGGCCAGTGACGGTTTTTTTTTTCACATGACGGTAGGAGGCGCTTGTGAGCACGGAAATTCTTCTTGTTACTCCTTACTGCAGAGGAAGAAAGCAATCATTTGGCACAGGACCTTTACAGATAGAAATTACAGTGGCAGCTGTAGGACAATGTAGGCACGAGCATTGGACTTTCAGAATGAACTTTGACCAAGTTCAAATGTGTTCCTATACCAGCTTGTGTCTGTCACATCAGCAGGTGTTTGTAATTAAGGTAATTGTGTGAAAATATGAAGTTTGAAGAGATTTTTGTTAAAGTTGCAGTAGATGGATTTGAACCCTGATCTCCTGCATGAAAGCCCACAGTGCTCATCATGAGACTATAGGAGATGTGGCAGAGGACAATCCCAGGGATTGGATTGTATGTATACAGAAAAAGTTTACCTTACCAATGCAATCATTGACACTTAAGTGCAATATATTACAGCAATAGGACAACATAAAGACAGTATTACAGTAAAACATCAAAATACAATCATATTAATACTGTAATCACTGAACTACTGAGTTTAAATATTATGAAACTATGGTGCAGTACCATGTTGTGTAGATGCAGCAGGGGACAGTATTGGACCAATACAAGGCTCCATTGACTGCCATTATATTTTATTAAACATTAATATTTCAAAAACTATAAGTTTTACAGGCACCAAAAGGCATAGCCATCATTTGGCACAGGGGCTTTACAGATATAAATTACAGTGGCAGCTCTAGGACAAAGTATGCAGGAGGAGAAGCATGGCAAAGTTGAGATGACTTGGATGGGAAACGAATCACAATAGTGTGCATTGCATTGGCAATGCACACTGACTAAAGTCTCGTATTTAGCAAGTGCAGCCACAGCTATCCATTTCTACTTTTCAAGCGTTTTAAAATGGAGGCTTATATTTCTAAATTGAAACAATATTCTAAATTGGACTTTCAGTCGAAGCAGGTAATTTCAAAAGGGAGAAGAATGGACTTCACTTATAAGTAAAGCCAAGACCATAATAAATTAGGACCATTTAATGGAGTATGCATCAAATTAGTTATAGTTTGTTTGTGTAAAGAATAGTAATTAGATATGAAACATAACTTTTTAACTGCTGCCAACCAGAATCAGAATCAGTTTTATTGCCATTGTCTATTTTTTTTGTTTTATTGCCATATATATATAT